CAACCGTGGTTAATAATACGAAATTTAAGCAGGGAAGAGTTTTTTATTTTTTTTTTGGGGGGGGGGACTAAAACTGTTGCAAAGCTTGAGAGTGACCAGTGAATCAGTGATTTGGTTATATGTATTTCCCCCAAGCAAACCTGTTTCTTCCGCACATATTTGTTAAAGTTTCAACTTAGCAATCATTTTGGGAATGTGTATATGTCCAGAGTGTTTATGTGGAATAGCAAGCGTAATACAAATCAACTACATCCAATTGGTATTGATTATTGGGAGATCCTAATTGAATAATCATTCGGTATTAGATTAACAAGTGTTATATACCTGATATTAAAAAAACAACCCAATTGTTAAACACAATTATCAAGAATTGAAAACGTATCTCCGTAATACAACTTAGACTTACAGTTTCAGTACATATGAGATTCTCATTGCTGTTGGTATACATTTGTGAGAGAATAAGGCCAAACACACACAAAAATAACGTGTGTGAGAAGGGAAGGTGGTGTATTTTGTAAGCACAACAATCTTTAACCTTGTTTAGCACGAAAATATGTCAAAAATAAATAAATAAAATGAACGGCACGGTTTGTGTAAATAAGCAGGATCTCTGTCTTTCAAATTTAACGTTAAACCGCCGAAAGCTTGAGAAGCATTAAAAAATCAATAGGCTTAAAAATTTTAATAATAATCACATTAGATGTGGATTTTATTTTTACATTCTTCTTAAACTATCCAATGCCTGTAAGCATAAGATTTCACAACAGTTTCTTGTCTTCCACGAGCCACTTGCCAGGAGGCTTTTCCTTGAATACCAGAACCCACCGGAACCTCAGAGTTTGAATCCACAGATTAAAAAATATTGAAAAAATACTCACGGTTAATATGATTTTTATCTCAAAATTTTAAATCTCTACATTGATCTCAGAGTGTTTAAATTTTTGAATCATTTGAAATGGCGAGGAAAAAAAACGCACACTTGTATGAATTTCACTTTCCGTTTCAGAATTGTTTATGTTAAAGGTAATTGGTCTAAAAACTTCAAGGCAATATATAAAGAGCTCGGCATGGCTAGGTGGTTAGGGCGCTGACTCGCAATTTGAGGATCGCGGATTCAAATCCCCTTTTACGTTATCACAGTATTAATTATTATTGTTTTACAGTACTATTTTTACTTGATCATTATTTTATAACTTCTTTTTTTTTATATTTGTCATTGCTTTATTGTACCATACTTTTACCTGATTGATTAAAATAATAATATTCGTGAATAGGGTTTAATTTTACTGAATTCATCGAGTTAAAAAATCCACTAAATAACAACTTTAATATTACACCATGCGAGCTTCCAATGGAAGCTGCGTAGCATTAAATGTTTAACAGTTTGTTTATTTATTATAAAGCATGTAGTACCCCCAGCTATTGCTGATAATTTATTTAGTGGGTAAAACAATCTATTATTCGGAATGTAAATACAACTGTTGCATGGTTTCGTTTGGTGTATATCTCGAACTGTTGCCCGCTTTACTTAGAGGATAACACGATCTCCTACATGATTTCCTTGGTTGATGATAAAAAATGTTGGAATGTTTCTTGGATGTGGAAAACAATATAAACCAATCTTTCCTTGATTGCAATTCAATATTTTTTCAAGTTTTCTTTGGTATGAAACACATAGTGCTGAAAGCTTTCCTTGTTGCTCAAGAATTTATAACTTGGTGTATAAATCTAACATTTGGAAGCTTTCCTTGTTCTCAAGAAGTTTCACTTGGTGTACAAATCAAGGCGTTGGAAACTTTCCTTGTTGCTCATGAATTTTCACTTGGTGTACAAATCAAGCCGTTGGAAGCTTTCCTTGGTGCAGGATATAATTTGTTGAAAGCTTTCCTTGGTGTAGGACAAACTTTATTATAACATTTCCTTAGTGCCAAACAGAGTCCGTAAAAGTTTTAATCACCACTCAAGTGCTAAACTAAATCAGTTTATATTTACGTCTCTTTAGCACGAACTATCTAGGTAAGTGACTAGTAGCACGAACTATTTAGGTAAGTGACAGT